CTCGCGACTGCTCTGATTCAAGACGATGTTTGAAAGAAGCTGTGTGGTCGCTGCAAGCTGCTCAAGAACTGCACCTGGGTCTGGCTGCTGAGGCGACCTAGCAGGGGAAAACGGATTACCTGGAATCTGCGGGCGAACAGGCTCAAGCTCAGGCAGATCAATGTCTGCATCATCTTTCAAGCACAGGAACTTCGGCCATGGCACTACCTTCCTCGCCCAGCGAGGGAACTGCGCCCTAAAGGCCCGAGAGGCACTTGCAATTCTCCAAAGAAAACCAATAAGTCTGGGCCCAGCCCTGAAAGAAAACCAAACGACGTGTCTGCGAACTGATGTTCGAGGCGCTACGGGAGTAAGGGTCCTGCTCCCCGAAGACATTTGTCGGCCAGACCCAAAGGAATGGACCAGTAAGTGCTCCGCTACCATGCTAATTTTCACTCAAACCAAAGCGCCTGCAGAGTCGCACAGTCTTCGCATTGGGCTCAAATGAATTAAGGAGCTCACAGAGTAAAACAAGTACACATGTAAATACCGGCCAGGAAAACAAAGTGGAAAACAAGTGTACCTACTGTACGTGTACAAGGTGTGCAAAGTTTTGCAAACTCTCTGGTCTTTTTTCGAACGGTTTGCTCTTTCTTCGGAAATTTTCTAATTCCTTTCGAGCGGTTTGCTCCTTGTTCTCAACTTCTCTAGTCTCTTTCGATATTCACTAGTCACAGTCTCTTTCCAGCGGTTTGCTCCTTCTTCTGAAATTCTCTAGTTCCTGCCGGGCGGTCGGCCCCGTGTTTGCCATAAAGGAACTACAGAATTACAGAAGAAGGAGCAAACCGTTCGAAAAAGACTAGGGGATTCCGAAAAGACTCGAGAAATTGCAAACAAGGGCAGGCCGCTCGGAAGGAACTAGCGAATTTCAGAAGAAGAAGCAAACCGCTCGAAAGAAAATAGAAAAACTCTACAGGCAGCAAACCGCTCGAAAGGAACTGGAGAAGTTCTGAATAACGAACAAACCGTTCGGAAATGATTGGTGGCTTCCGAAAGAAACTAGAGAAATTCAAAACAAGGATTAGACCGCTCGAAAGGAACTAGAGAAGCTCAGGAAGGAGCAAACCGAAAGAGACTAGAGAATTGCAACGGAGACTAGATAGTTTGAAAACAAACAGCCAACCGCTCGAAAGGAACCAGAGAATTTCAGAAGGAGGTGCAAACCGCTCGAAAGAGACTGGAGAATTTCGCAAGAGACTACAGAAATTTGTAGTCTCCGTCGAAATTCTCATGTCCCTTTCGAGCCGCTTGCTCCCTCTAGTTCCTTTCGAGCATTTGGCTCCTTGTTTTCAAATTTTCTAGGCTCTCTCGTCTCTTTCGAGCGGTTTGCTAAGCGATTTGCCCCTTGTTTTCTATTTCTCTAGTCTCCTGCAACATCCTCGAGTCTTCTCCCGAGCGGCTTGCTCCTTCTTCTGAAAGCTTCTAGTATCTTTCGAAATTCTCTCATCCCTTTCGAGCGGTTTGCTCCGTGTTTTCAAACTCTCTGGTCTCTGTCGAAATCCAAGCGGCTTGCTCCTTCTTCTGCAATTCTCTAGTTCCTTTCGAGCGGCTTGCTTTCGTTCGAAATTCACCAGACTCTTTCAAAGGGTTGGCTCTTTCTTCTGAGACTCGCTCGTTCCTTTCCAGCGATTTCGGGCGATTTGCTCCTTGTTTTCAGACTCTCTAGTCGCTTTCGAGCCATTCGCTCCTTGTTTTCAAAATCTCCAGTCTCTTTAGAAATTCTCCAGCGTCCTTCGAGCGGTTTGCTCTTGCTTCTGCAATTCTCTAGTTCCTTTCGAACGGTTTGCTCCTTGTTTTCAATCTGCCTAGTCTCTTTCGGCATTCTGCAGCCTCTTTCGAGCGGTTTGCTCTTTCTTCTGGAATTTTCTAGTTCCTTCCGAGCGGTTTGCTCCTTGTTTTCACATCCTCTAGTGTTTTTCGATATTCGCTAGTCTCTTTCGAGCTTTTTGCTCCTTGTTTTCAATTTGCCTAGTCTCTTTCGGCATTCTGTAGTCTCTTTCGAGCGGTTTGCTCCTTCTTCTGAGATCCTCTAGTTCAATTTCGAGCGGTTCGCACCTGTTTTTCGAATTCTCTGATCTGTTTCGAAATCCCCCGTAGCATTTTTGAAGCGGTTTGCCCCTTCTTCTGAAATTCGTTGGCTCCTTTCGAGCGGTTTGCTCCTTGTTTTCAATTTCGTTCGTCTCTTAAGGATTTCTTTCGTCTCTTCGACCGGTTTGCCCCTTCTGCTACAATTCTCCAGTTCCTTTCGAGCGGTTTGCTCTTTGTTTTCAAATTCTCTAGTCTCCTTTGAATTTCTCCAGTCTTTTTCGAGCGGTTTGCTCCTTTTTCTGACATTCTCTAGTTCCTTTCGAGCGGTTTGCTCCTTTTTTCAAATTCTCTAATCTCTATCGATGTTTATTAGTCTCTTTCCAGCGTTTTGCTCCTTCTTCTGAAGTTCTCTAGTTCCTTCCGGGCGGTCTGCCCCCTGTTTGCAATAAAGCAACTAGGGAATTTCAGAAGAAGGAGCAAACCGTTCGAAAAAGACTAGGGGATTTCGAGAAAAAAAACTCGAGAAATTGCAAACAAGGGCTGACCGCTCGGAAGGAACTAGCGAATTTCAAAACAAGAAGAAAGGAACTAGTGAGTTTCTGAAGAAGGAACAAAGCCTTTGAAAATGACTGGGGTTTTCGAAAGAAACTAGACAAAATTCCAAACAAGGAGCAGACCGCTCGAAAGGAACTAGAGAAGCTCAGGAAGGAGCAAACCGTCCGAAAGAGACTACAGAACTTAAAGGAAACTAGAGAATTTGTAAGCAGCAAACCGCTCGAAAGGAACCAGAGAATTTCAGAAGAAGGTGCAAACCGCTCGAAAGAGACTGGAGAATTTCGCAAGAGACTACAGACTTTTGTAATCTCTTTCGAAATTCTGGCTTCTTGGTTTCAAATTCTCTAGTCTCTTTCGGAATTCTCTTGTCTCTATCGAGCGGTTTGCTAAGCGGTTTGCTCCTTGTCCTCTAATTCAGTAGTCTCCTGCGACATTCTCAAGTCTCTCTCCAGCGGTTTGCTCCTTCTTCTGAAAGCTTCTAGTATCTTTCGAAATTCTCTCGTCCCTTTCAACCGGTTTGCTTCGCGTTTTTAATCTCTCCGATCTCTGTCGAAATTTTCTAGTCCCTTTCGAGCGGTATGCTCCTCGTTTTTTCACTTTCTCTAGTCTCTTTTTTCCTTTCGAGCGGTTCTCTCCTTGCTTTCAAATTCTCTAGTCTCTTTCTCAAACGGCTTGCTCCTTTTCTGAAATTCTCAAGTACCTCTCGAGCCGTTTGCTCCTTGTCTTCAAATTCCCTAGTCTCCTTCGGAACTCTCTAGTCTCTTCCGAGCGATTTGCTGCTTCCGAACATCTCTAGTTCCTTTCGAGCGGTTTGCTCCTTCTTCTGGAATTCTCTGGCCTCTTTCTTGTTTTCGAATTCTCTAGTCTCCTTCGAAACTCTCTAGTCTCTTTCGAGCGATTTGCTGCTTCTTCCGAACATCTCTAGTTCCTTTCGAGCGGTTTGCTCCTTCTGAAATTCTCTGGCCTCTTTCGAACGGTGTGTTCCTTGATTTCAAACTCTCCTCTCTAGTATCTTTCGAGTGGTTTGCTCCTTCTGCTGACACTTTCTAGTTCCTAATCTGTTAGCTCCTTTTTGTCATGTTCCCTAGTCTCCTTCAAAATTCTCTTAAGTCTCTTCTAAGCGGTGGTTTGCTCCTTCTTCAGCAATTATCTAGTTCCTTTCGAGCGGTCTGCTTTCGTTCGAAATTCACTAGACTCTTTCAGCGGGTTGGCTCATTCTTCTGAGACTCGCTCGTTCCTTTCGAGCGGCTTCGGGCGGTTTGCTCCTTTCTTTCAAATTCGCCAATCGCTTTCGAGCCATTCGCTCCTTGTTTTCAAAATCTCGAGTCTCTGTAGAAATTCTCTAGTGTCTTTCGAGCGGTTTTGTCCTTTTTTCTGACATTCTCTAGTTCCTTTCGAGCGGTCTGCTCCTTGTTTTCATATTCTCTAGTCTCTTTCGAACTTCTCTAGTCTCTTTCGAGCGGCTGGCTCCTTCTTCTGAAATTCTCTAGTGCCTTTGGAGGGGCTAACTCCTTGTTTTCATTTTCTCTCGTTTATTTCGAGCGGTTGGAGGCCTTTTGCCAGATGAGTTCATTCTGATGATTGGAATTGTCACACAGGTAATTCGAGTCTCAAGCATAAACCTATCCGTTCACATCCGATAACCATTGCCGGACCATTGCCGTCTGGGTCGTCCTACGTCTACGGCGTGCATCGAAGGGCTCAGCTGAGTCCGATCTGTAGCCAACCAGTCTGAGTGGATCCGAACTGTAGGATTTGGGAATATGACCGGCCCGCCTAATCCTTCTGTCGCCAAGACTAGAATTCGATCAGATGAAAGTTCAAACAGCTTAGCCTTGGACACGTGCAGCTTTGACCAGGCACGTTTGACGGCCGGAGTACGTTGAGGAACTTCGTGGCGGATGTTAAGGGTCTGGTTGAGGTTAATACCTAAGTAGATAGCTTCTTGTGCTTTCGGGAGCGGAACATGCTCGGTAAAATGCATATTAGCGCTCTGCTGCAACGCCGCCTGTTGCTCTCTTAAGTCTCAGCGCATACTGCTCATGCCAAATCAATTTATTGCGAGCCCTCGCACTGGTTGAAAAAAAGTACGGAACCGCAAGTTCGCTTCATACTGTTGTCCATTCACGTCATGACAAGCAGGAACAGGGCAATTAATGAGGGGGACCCTTGCCTCCCTTGCCTGACTCCAGCCGGTCGAAACTTGATGGTAGACGCACCGTATTGATTCGCACGAAAAAGGTGCGAGTAGGGCGTGAGTTCGGGTGTATATTTACAGCGTTTGCACATGCAGACTTTGCTCTTGGGTGCAGTGCAACAAAGCAGCAAGAGAAAAGAGGGGGCAGTGAGCAGTCACAAGCGGGATGTAAGTGTGCAGCAATCGGCTGCACTGGATCTTTGCCAAGTGGGCGTGCTTCCAGGGATGGATCCTGCAGCTGATTGCAAGCATCGCCAAATTATCACTACTTGCTGAGCGAAGCAGCGCAGCCCCAACTAGCTGTCCCAGTCGTTGATCCTTTCCTCTCCATTCTTCGGGGGTGCGTTCCTGGTCTTTTGTCCATGTTCCCGCACTGCCAGCGTGCTCCCTAGCATGCTGTTGCGCGTGGGCCTCTGCACCCAAATGGCCTGCAGGGACACCGAATCCGGCTTGAATATCCACTGCACGCCACCGCGCCTGGTCAGCTCATGCCATCCGAGTGCGCTCGGCTTCCAGCAGCACAACACGCTGAGAGCCGTACTGCCGGTTCCGGATGCGCTTCTCTGTGTTTACCCGTAGCTCGAAGATCACTCGGTGATATACTTTGTCGCCTCCAGCTAGCAGGCTGGCAGCAGACTGTGTAGTGTAGCCTTGCTCAGAAAGGCCCTCAGCGCTTCGCCGAAGAGGATCTGCGGCCGCGCGTACCAGCGGGCCGTGGAGAGGTTCGGTGAGCAGTACACCTCGGCCGGGGGTCGGCTCTCTGCAAGGCTCCAGGGCCTTTTTTTGGAGCTGTCGGCCAAGGTGCTCCGGGTTCCCAGAAGTCGTGTCCCTTGTCCCGGTCATTGGACTCCAGGAAAACCCCGGAATCCAAGACTGACCACACCTCGGCATGGCAGGACCAGAACATGCAAAAGCTTGGAGGCATTCCTTCATGGCAAGGCCGTTGCTGCATGCCTTTTTAAGACTTTATATGTACAAAGACTCACAAAAATTCACAAAAGCCGTGCCCCTCTGCTACGGATTCGTGAAAATCATTCCTGGTCCACAACTACTGTCTGGGGCCCTAGCAGAGTACCACCAAGTTCCATGAAAGGCCGTCTCCCAAGTAGGTTGGCTCTTCACGACTGGATCCTGAAACATTTGCGCGCATGCCGCAGAGGGGTCCTGCAGGCCCTTAAAGCATATCTCAAGCACAGCGCGCACCTTGGTGTACTGATAAACCTTCCAGCCCTGCAACAGACAAATCTCGGTCACACATCCCAAGGAACTCGATGGTGGATTGCCTTCTCGTACCCTGTTTCGACCAAGACCCCCTCAAGATCACGCACCTCGTGCACGAATCATTCACCCGAAAGGATAACTTGATAATCTTGAGAACGGGAACCGCGCCTTCAGCCATTCTTCAAAAAGAGCAGCGAAATCTTTTCGGGCACCTCTGGGCTGGGCCGCTACGGCACCAGCTCTTCGCGGCCTGCACACCTGGACCACATCGCTTCCTAAACCTCGAGAAGCGGAAAAACACGTGTGCAGGGACCTCCCGCCACTGGATCACCAAGTCCTTAAATGACATTGAAAGCTGAGAGTAAGCCGGAGGAATGAAAATGAGGTCGCGTCTTCGCGTCCGTTGGAGGCGCCCTGCAAAGCTTCCCTCACGTTCTCATCAACAGCCTCCTGAGAATTGCATATTCAGCTTCAAAATCTGAGGAGGCACATGCACGTAGGACACTGAGTAGTCGCACTCGGACTTGCCACAGCTTCTACATATCAGCTGGAACGACTCTTCGATCCCTTCAACCCTGACGAGCGAGACGGAAGACGCACTGAGTCAATTCTGTCTCTGACTTCCTCAGACCCGAAGCCCGAAATCCAAATGGACTCACCTGAAAAGTTCCTTCAGAGCCGATGGAGAGATCTTGCTTGTGGTAAGGGTTCAGTGTCTAGGATACCCCGACACGCGAGCTACCCAAAGTCTCGATCCCAGGTGGTGAGGCAAAGCAGTCATGTGGGCAGTTGTTCATGAGCTGCTTCTAGCCTTGCACCCGCTTGTCCGTTCCAGAACTACGAGTACCTTGCTGACATCGTTGGGCCCAAACCGTGTAGCTTGCAACTCTTGGGGAAGCTAAACCACGACTGAAACGGGCAGTGAAGCACAACAGAAGTCTTGCTAGGAAAACAAAGTCAAAGTGGTCTGCCCTAAAAGCATGCCGTGTCCTTGTCGCAGTCGCCAGATCCTGAATTCATCGTGAAAAAAAGAGTGAACAAGGTGCAAACGAGAGCTCCGTCCTTCGGAGGCTTCGCTCGGAATGAGACCCTGCCCAGACTTTCAGTACAGGTAAACCAAGGCACTCCACTTGCAGCCTCCAGAAGCATGCCATCCAGCACCATTCCCGCATGGTCCTCTTCAAAGGGCCCTCGGTCAAGCAAAGTGTGAAAGCCCGACTCCATTCCCTCACCCAGATCACTCAGGCAAGCTTCTGTCATCAAGAGCTTCATCCGAATCCTGCTTGCGGCCATGCGTGGAAAAAACATGCCGGCAACATTGGCGCCGGCCTAACCTTACCAAGCCCCCACAGTGCTTGGACCCACACTTCACTTAGGTCAAGGCCTCGTGCTGCAGCGCGCGGGCATAGACCATAATGCATCTACAACAATATTGCTCCCACAATGGGCATTTCCTGTTACCTCTGCTTGCCATCAGAAGGATCGCTCGATGCGTGTTCCAGCTGCCAGGTGGAGGCGATGCTCGAGTCGTTGAGCCAGTGCAAGCTGCCGAGAATAGTGTTCGCTTGCACTGCAGGATCATCCAAGAAGCAGTGCAGCACCCCTGGGAGCAGGCAGAATGCCACCCAGAGCATGGATGCGGGGTCACTTGATTTGTTTCATTTTCGCACACGCAGCCACTTGTTCGTTGTGGTCGCCACCATTTTTTGAAGCAGGCCGTGATGTTGTTGCTCTTGTGGTCCGTGTGGGGCTCGGTCGGTCCTGGAAGGTCGTGTCCCGCACGAATCCTGCGACATCCAGACCTAAGAGGTCTTCGCAGACCTGAGGTCTCGCTGGACTATCGCCACCTGCACAGCTCTACTGTCTCGCTCCTCAAATTCAGACCAGCAACACGCGCCCGTGCCTCTTCTCAACGATGGAACTGCACGGGGGGAACCTGCGAAATGTTGCACAGTCTTGAAACACCGCGAACAGAATGTACACAAACGCTCTGCACAGACTGTGGTCGCCCTTGGTGTCCCTCCCACGCTGTTCCCCGGCCTGGAGCGGCCTTGTGATAGCAAGCGCTTGACACATCGACCCACAACTGCAACTGCACTTGTTGTGGTGCAATCGTGTATCAGTGGATCTCTAGAGCGGAGGCAAGACAAGCGACGTGCCTTAGTGGCATCGCCGGCAGGACTAGCGGCACTACCGGCGCCGCCCTGGGCAGTCACAGCCGTTGGACCGGTTGGAAAGGCTCGCACATCTCTGAGTCACATGCCCCGCAAAGCCAGGACGCCTTATTCTCAACTCACGACCAACACTGTTTGACACTTCTCAGTTCGTCGCACTTGCATCTGAGGTCAGGTCGGCAGCAGCACCGGACTGCCAGAGGCTTTTGAGTTTTTTCTGGGATGCCCCCCAAACTCCACACCCGAGCCTCGCCCAGGGCGCAGCAACCGGTGCCTGTACAACGCGCTGACAAATGCTGACGGGTTTCAGACGTGCGGCGCGAGGATTCCCAGCTTGTACCCCCGTCCCGTCCCACATGAACTCGAACATGCAATCTACATGTCGGGTTCTTCGCATACTGCAGTACTGCATTCGCGACCGCCTGCGATCGAGTTGCCGTGCCTGGCCATGCTGTTGCACGAGTATGCGAAAAATGACACTTGCCAATGTCTTGACACCGCTGCACCTGGCGCTGTGGCAGGCGGCCTCCGCGGAATAGCTTCTTTCGTTTGCTGCTCAGCTGTAATGCTCAGACATGCCTAGGCACGAGCCTGGGCAGGGTTGATGCGCCCATGGCGCCGGGGCTTGGCACACCTGATATGACGCGGGAACTCAGGCGTTGGCGCTGCGCCGAATCTGGCCTTCCACTCCCTCGCAAATCAGGCACGCACGAGCCGCTTTCGCTCATTGGTTCAAAGAAGGAAGCGCCACGCCCGGGCACAGAAAGTCTTCACACTAAGGCCTTTAGAAACCCCTCGCTGCGGGCCTGGTGCAGGTGGTGGCGGAGGCGAGGGCGGCCTCAGACCAAATCCCAAGTCCCATGCGACAAAGATTCCCATTCGAGGTGTCGACAGGACGACAACTGCGGAGCTGGAAGTGCCCGTCCTTGCCGAGAATGCTGCACGTGTGAAACTGCCAAACCGGGCTTGTTTGCTTTGGCGAGAGAGACTGGCAAGGTGAGGCTGCAACTCGGGACCCGGGGTACCGGCTGCGATGACCCTGCACAGGTGAAAGGGATTGGTCGGGCCAGGGGGTTCGTCAGAGCCGCACCGGACAGTCTCTTCCGCGAACTGCTCCGCTTCAACGACCTCAAGATGCAAGCTGCTACATTCTGCGGCACATGGCCCTCCCTCTGCCCCGGCCTGCTCGGGCCTTCCGCAAAGCTCAAGCTGGCACTTCTGAGCATCTCGCCGAACCTTGGCACACTGGACTCCACACTTCGAGTGCCGTGTCCCACCAGTCACGGAGGGGATCTGTTGCTCATTTCATTGCAACCATGCATTCGACATTCGAGCTGGGCTGCCAACGACGGCCCACAACCATCATTGAATCATTTTGCGCTCTGAGAAAACCGTTTGCGTAAAGAAGCGCACTCTTGATTGCATCTCCAGGAAATTAGCTTCTCCGTACATCGCATCCGCCACTCGGTCTTGCGAATCACAACCCGTCCAACTAGTACCTCTTTCCTGAAAAATCTCAGAAAATTAGGACTCTCTGCAGCTGCTTCCCCCCTGCTCGCGCTTCCAAAATGTCCGCGAACAGTTTTGGGGAGCGGCGGCTGATTCGCCGCAGGCGTTCCCGATAAAATGCAACCTTCTTTCAGCTCTCGAGTTTGTACCCAGACAAGGTCAGTAGACGAAGTCATAAGCATTAGAACATCTTCTGAGGTTTTGCGAGTAGTCAGAAAACATGAAAGGATAAGAAGTAGGGTCCAGATCTCTCGCATGTTTGACAAATTCTGGGAGCACGACGATGACTCGAGCGCCGGTCTTGGATTCCACCGACTGTCGCCAAGAGCCATCACCGAGGACCTGCGACGTGAGCTGTTTCCAAGACTACACTGACTGCACCCCACGGACGGCACATGCATACCGGCATACCGGACGGATGTGATTCGCAAGGAGCTACCAGCAGGCAACAGCCACCAGCAAAAAACTTGGAAGCTCGAGCAGAACACAGGCAACACGCGTGGACACCCCGTTATCGCAGCAGACCTGCCGTTGGCCGCTTCCAGAATCGAGAACGCCCTCCTAAATCAGCCTACAGTCTGTCTGCCGTAGATCTCTCAAAGACGGCATGACCGACGCTCAAAGTGCACAATCCTTCGAGCAAAGCCTCAAAGGGAACAAGCAACCTAAACCACTAAACCACCCATCAAAATGAAATCACAACCACCAAACGAGCGAATTACCAAAAACATCCCGGCACCTCCAGCCACAGTTTGTCGCACATTGCACGCGAACACACGCTGCAACGCCTTCTACCTGCCCTGTTCTGTCCAAAGAGGGGTGCTGGTCGTGTTGGAGGCTGCGCTACTTTGGCTGGAGATGCCGCTCCCTCCGCGGTCTTGGGAGGGATGGATGCGACCATAGTTCCCACGGTGGTGCATGGTCTTGAGTCGTGGTCTCCTCGGAGTTCTGCTGTGCGATTGGTGTCAGCTCACACCGATGGAGTCCGGCGGCTTGCCGGGCATGTTTGGAATGGTTCCTTGTCGGTGAGGGGGCTTCGCTTCGCTCTTGTCGTTGTGGTGGCGCAGTGTAACTAGTATAGAGATGATATGGTAGCACCTTGGTCGTGATCTCATCGGCCTTATGCGGCCTTGTCGTTGTTGGTGGTAGTGCACAGCTTGCCTATGTACACCTTCAAGTATGCAGACAGTGACTCAGCGCCACATTCTAGGAAAGCTGGCCTACAATGTACGCATTAAGTTGTCCAAAGTCTTCATCGGAAGCAACATCCTGCGATGCATTGGGCTCCACACGCTTGTGGCAATCTTTGTTTCTACGGTGCCAATGCAGCTGTGCTGTTACTTCTGACTGGACCGATGCAATGCAGGGCAGGGCGAAGCGCTGATAGAGTCGTCTAAGGAAAATCTGCCTTGTCCGCAAGATGAAGGGGTATGTCAAAGGTGATGCTCTCCTGGCCGTGATACAATCAAAAGCTGGTGTCTCCATCGCTGCCGAATGATTGCGGGTGCACTGTGGTGCGCTGCTTCTTGCCATGCCTCATCATTGCCAGCACCACCGATGGAGGCAGGCGCGCATCCGCCCGCAACTGCTCGGCCTCTCGTTTGAGGAATGCCTGTACTTCACGGCTTTACGGCCCATCGCGCACTGAGGTACTAGCCTCCAGACAAAGCCACGTGAACCCTGGCGGCTTGCGCCTAGGGCTGGGCACCATGTCAATGATCGTGCAAACTACCCTCTCAGTCGTGACCAGGACGGCAAACCGGCAGAAAGTGAGTTGTTGGCTGCTGCAGCAGCCCGTGCGACGGAGGCTGACACCCCATCCTTGATATACGTCTCAGTCTGCTGACCTAGAGATCTCCTTGCAGAAGGTCGTCCCTTCAATACAGCACCCACCAATGAGGAACCCGACTGTAGCACACGAGCAGAGACATCGAAGCACTTGGCCGAGCCCGGGGCAGGAGCGGAAGTGGAGGTCGCAGAAGTCGTGGGCCCTGATCCGAGGACCTGCGCTCGGCGAACTCCAAGACCACCGTTTTCGTGGGGTCGAACGAGTCAAGCCCGACAGTTCCATTCCTTGGTCCTCTCTTCCGCGCTTGAACGGAGTCGAGGGTCGGCATGCGAAAAACTGCTCTGCTGGCAAATTCTAAATTACTGGCAAACATCTGGACAATTTCGGCTTGAAAGCCAGGACCCGTTGCATACACTTCCCTGGAATCCGGAATGATCGTCGCATGAAGGGAGCCAAAGTCTAATCTAAGTGGCTGCTGGTGCTTTGGAACGGGTGCGTATCCTAACTGCCGGCACGTCGGCGGCAAGCTCAGCAGAACCATACCATTCTGGGACAGTCTGATTACAAAAGATTTGAAGGTGTGAGACGGGAAAGAAAAATTCCTTTTGCAGGAGCTGAAGTCATTACGCTAAGCGGAAGCCGCTTCACTCACTTCACTCTGTGAGGACAAAGCTGAGTAGCCTGCACAAAAGGCTCCGCAGGCAGCGAAACTGCACCTCCCGGCTATTTTGCCGGTCGTTGCCTCGTCTGCCCCTTGCGAGGAGGGCCACGCACAGCGACGAAGCAAGTGCCGCCGCCACAGCACAGAGTCCTGGAACTTCTAAGCCTCTGCATGTCCAATGTCCTAACTTCTTTGAAGGGCTGGCCTAGGCCTGTCCGCAGTGGCATCGCACCTCACAACGTCTGGATAGTGACAACAAGAGGGTCTGCGACATGCACAGTGACATGCAACCGTGGGCTCTCCTTGAGATGGTTTATGGCTGCGCGCCGCATCCCAGAGTTGCGAATCTGCCTCGCCACTGCAATGTGTGTTGACATGCATGGACTTGTCCGAAGAAGGCAGCTGCAAATCGCCAAATCACATCTCGGCCTCTGATAGTCTTTGGACGGTTCCGGTCGCTGCTCCCTGCTGGGTAGGCGAAGGCCTCCTCTCCTTGACCTGATTGAAACTCGTCCCAGTGCCGCACGGGACGTCAATGTTCGTCCTGTCCCGCCTTCGAGTGTTTTTTGGCATTCTTGTCTGCAGCCCCTGAAGAGTGCAGCAGCTCGTAGCCAATGACTTTGATTGGACCTGGGCAGAGCCACATGTGGGCCACTGGCAATGTTTTGCAACCTACTAGAGCAAACTGTCGAGTGCGATCGAGCAAGAGGCCGTGCGTTGCCTCTCGACCGTCCTCTGGCTCGAACGGCAAGGCAAGATAAGTTCTCAGAACCGCGTGCCCTCGCCTCGAGGCCGCGAAAAGCATCCGCTGCCAACAGGTATTCCATGACCTGAAGTGTGGCTTGGATCATGTTGGGAGTACATCTTCGCAAAGCTGCGCATCGAGCTTCATCCGTTATCGGATAGTGCATGGAATCGGTGATCTGCACCTCCGAAGCGTACGCAGAGAAGGGTTGTGAAGGAGCCGCAGGATCGCCTTAAAAGCAGTTTCGATGAAACTCAGACCGAGGCGACCATCTCGTCAAAAGCACCATGCTTGCCTGGTAGGGCATTTCCCTCTCTCATGCCTGTAGCCAGAAACTGCTAAGCACGCGGCTCCAATCATCCTGTCAGACCGTGATGTGGGCTCAGTCTTACACAGTCAAGACTTTTAACGGAACCCTGGCTCGGAGCAGCCCTCCCCTTTGCAAAGGCGCTGTGGTCAGGAAAGCCTCCATGTCGTCCAGCGTCTCTTCTCTGAACTCACCCTGGCACTGTCGACACGGAAGTCTCTCTTGCTCCGACACGTCGCATCACTTCCCCCACCCCTGCAGGAGTCTGAAAAGGCTTCTGCTGGAGTCGACGGCTCTGCCTGAGACGCCGTGCAAGGCACGCAAGGCAGGGAAGGCAGAAGCAGTGATGCTGTTTGGAGCCGCACTCAGGCTGAAAGATCTTCTGAAAGTCTTCGGCCATCGTTTGCAAGGGTTGCGACCTCGTAAGATGAAGGCTGAGCTCCTTGAAACAAAGACTTGCTCCGCTCTGCCTCCGAGGGCCCAGCTGATTGGTGCCATTCGCTTCCAATGCTTTCTCCATTTGCTGCGCCTTCGAAAAAAAACGGCTGGGCAGAACACGGCCGGAGGGGCACGTTGCCGAGTTCCGCCGCGCCTCCCTGCCAGCTTCTTTAACGGCAGCCGGCAGAACCATCAGGCCTGGGCTGCTCGCTGGGGATCGCAAACACAGAGCCGACTCGTCGAAGCTTCGAGCTTCCTGCCGTAAGCTATAACATGTCGTGCACTGGGACCGACCTGGGCCATGGAGCCAGGTGACGGACCCACAAACGCAGCAAGCAATGCTCGAAACGACCTGCTGCGCTCGAACATGCCAGCCGGACGTGCGGAATCCAGTTGAAGGTGCGCGTCAACTTATAGCTGATCTGGCATGCTCGGCCATGTTATAACATCTTTCGAAGTGGTGCACAACCGGCTCACGGGCTCCTTCGGGATGTTGATGGGTCTGATTTTCGTCTTCTGGCAGCCGAGCCTCGTAAGCTGACACCACGTCCAACGCATGGCTGCGAGCGAGCCCTGAGGTCCAGTACATCATTCCCTCACAGATGCCACCAGCGCAGACCTCTGTGAGGGACATTGGGCTTTGTGGCTTAAGGCATCGGGACAAAGGTCACAAGTTTCTCGAAGGGATCATCCATGCAAATGCTTGGACGATCTTGGACGGCAAGACCGCAGCCTACCTGCCTCAGCAGCCCGTTTGAATGTCGCACACCGTTCCAAAACTATCGACCACTTATCGTGGTTGCCACTATGTTCGATTCCTCAAGTGGACACTGACTGCATTTTTGTTTGGTAACGTGCTCTTTTGAACGATGCTGAGCGCGTGTAGTCAAATCCGCTGTGCTGAATAAATCCGTGACTGAAATACTTGTGACCCAGCAAGTGCCGGACACTTTCAGGAAGCAGGTCGCTCAATCGCTTGCGATGTTCAGCATCGTCCCTCAGCCGGCTTGATCACGTTCTGAGAATGACCCGAAGAATCGACACGGAAATCTACAGCGGTCTGAGGTAGCGACCCTAGGCGCCAAAGCTGGTATGGGTTAGACACATAACTTCCATCCGGTGTAAAATGCCCGGACATGGGATTGGAAGAACCGTCACCTCAACAAACATTCGACCAAGCTTGCCTACTCAGCTTGGTCAACTACAGTCACGTCAGTAATTGTGTGGCTTATGAGCTTCCGACCCGTGCCCATGGCTCCTCCTGCGTATGGGATGTTCTTCACGAGCTGAATGTAATTTATTCCGGCCCCAATGCTGTACCTGCAGGCGCAAGGAAATGGAAAGGTGTAAATGCAACCGCAACTACACGAACCACAATCAAGGCAACAGCGCACTTCAGCGGCTTTTCATGACAGTGCTTCGCCAGAGAGCGGAAAGCTCTTCGAGCCTGTCACAACTCTGCACGCACCAGGTGTTGACAAGAATGTCATCTGCTTTGTCGGCTTTAGACCATGGTTTTGCTGCCGTGTCTACATCACACTCCGCCGGTCTGGTCGAAAGGCTGTCGGGCAGAAGCTCTGGCTGTCGAGATGCGCCACTTCTGTGCTCTGCTGCCGTCGCCGAAGAGCTGTCGGCGTGTGCGTGGGTCGCGTTGGAGTGCGTCCGCGCCCGCACCGCGGCTCTCTGCTTCGGGCCCTCAGCACACAGCAGAGGAGAGGAGAGCAGAGAGGCGGGTACTGTAGGGGAGGGGAGAGGAGAGGAGGAACTGCTGCAGGTTGTGTTTGCTTGGCCACTTCCACCATCTCGACTCGAAGCACAGGTGCTCCACAACGCGAGCTCAGCGGAAGCTCTGGATCCGACTCGGGGGGCTATCGCGATCGCCATCCGTTGGGCTCGGCAGGGGGGATTCGCGCAAAGCACAACGCGCAAGCTTCATCGCTGCCAAGACAGCCTTTCTGCTCCTGCAAGCTGGTGGCTTGGCAGCCCGGCCTTCTGGTGCACGAGGCGAGTGGCCGGCTGCCGGCGAAGGCTCAAAACTCCACAAGGCCTCTCCTGGTCGGCCTTGGACGTAAGCCTTGAATTCGGTGTCTTCTTGGCAGAGCTTCTCGTGCAGTTCCTTGGGCCTTGTGATCCACATCGTTTGAGCACGCTTTCAACTGACCGGTTCTGCTTCCTCAGGCCACCTAGCCAACATCTTGAAGGGTTCAGGATGTTGCAGGCATCTTTTGCAAGGACGGAGCGCCCTTTGCCAATTTGCAGCTCAGGTTGGCCTGTCTCTCATCCTTGATCAGGGTAAATAGCCAGGCAATTGTCGTTCTAGCGCCGTGAGGCCAAGGGCTGGAACACGAGGCTGCTCGTTTCAAACTTTCACCGTCCACTCCACGCCCAAAGAGTTGCTAGTTAAAATGCCGCCATAACACAAGGCATGAGCATGTCTCGAAGGCCCATGGCCCATGGCCTTGCGAGTAAGGCCTTCGTGATGACCTTGCGACTCGAATCCAAAGCCCACGCTTTCATCCTCGGCTGCAGACACAGCTTCTCTTCGGACTCGCTTTCGGCAAGACACACTGAGATGCCGGCGTTCTTCACCAGCTGGGTTGCAGCCTGTTCCCGACAGCTTGGATTCCTCTCCTGTTCTCTCCACGACTCCCATTCCTGGACCTTCAAAGCAGCCGTCTGGTTCAACCGACGACCGATGGGATGGTCACAGAAGAAGGCGTTGGACTCCTGGCACAGGCAGACTCTGTTAGCAACGAACCGCACAAGAATGTTTCTCTAGCATTCCACACGTACAGGCAACCCCACTGCTCTGAGGGGATGAATCAGCAGTTCTCCCATGGCCTGAAGTACAATCTCCCCCAATTGCTTTGTAGCTCTCGCCAGCATGAGTCCAATTTCGAATTTGCATTCTAGCACTGAGCCGATTGGCTATAGTGCTTCTGCAGGACAGCCAGCCACCCGCTCATCCCAATATGGTTGCTTGTGCTTGTGCTCTACGCCCAAGCCTCGCTCAAGCTTGGTCCGCCGGTGGCGGTGGACTTGTTTCCACAGTATGGCAACACACTTTCCCTTGAAGCTAGCATCTTTTCGCAGCCCTGTGAAATGGTGAAGTTGCTCCCTCTCGGCGCCATGCCCAACTGGATCCGAAATGCCACTTTGCGGGGCTTCGAACTTGCGAACTGGTCATGTTGCTTTTCTTTGTGATAGCTCTTATACTGAAGCATAGTCTGCGCGGAGGACAGAGACTATGTGCCTGATGCCCTTCGTGACTGCATCGTTCACTAGATACAAGCTCCCACGGAACTACACGGACAGCCGGTTGAGGCCAATCTATGTGCATCTTGCTTTCTTGCTTGCTTGCTTGCTTGCTTGCGAAGCGCGCATCTCTCGCTCTCTATCTTCTTCAACTCAGCCAAAGGAGAAGCTGGCAAGCCCCTCCCCGCTCACAAATGCACACTGGTCTTAGGTCTCGTGTGGAGGTTTTTTTTGGCCTTTTTTTTGCCTTCTTGTTTTTTGTTGGGCCCTGGCTTCTGTTCTTTCCTAGGAACCGGGGAGCATGGACATGGGGCTGGGGATGCGCCCAGGGGCTGCGGGGTGGAGACCCGGGGGCCGGGGCTGGGTTCCCAACCTGGTAACGCATCTACACATCTCTACATCTATACATACCTGTGTATTTAACAAATATACACATATCTACATATACACATGCAAATATACTGTATATATAATACAATAAAATATATTAACATAGTGGAGTATTATATCATGTTATATTATATAAAAATTATATTATGATGTCTAATATAACATAATAAAATATAAATATAAATATATTTTACATAAGTATACATATATATATATATATACATACGTATATATGGTACCCCCCCCTGTACCCACGCCTCTCCCTTCTAAATGTCAGCTTTCGGTTCCGAAAGCGGGGGTCTTTGGCTCGGATCCAAGATCCAAGATCCAAGATTGCCCAGAAGTCTTGCGCGGGCAATCTTGGATC